AAGCTGCACTTCAACTCCAAGATCCGCTGTCATTCAAACATGGGATTGGATTTGCTCTACGCAAGAATATAGAGAAGGCGACGTGGCACGACTATTACCGTTTGATACTGTTGAACAGCGAAGTGTCCAAGCAGTACCACAAGCACATCAAGACCACCATGACCAATATGAACAATATTATGTTGAGAGACACCCAAACGGGAGGACGTCAAGGTAGGTCAACAGCAATGGCGGGGCACATTGTGAACACACTCCTCAGCATAATGCGCGAAGAAAAGCAATGTGGATTTGTATGGTTCATTGATCTTCGCGCAGATTTCCATCGGGTAATAAGGCAAATGTCAGTGGGCACATCTGGATATGTCCCGAATCGGTTGGATATTGAATACATCATGGAGCGCAGCAGCATGCCTGATGCATTAAGGCCACTGGCTCAGATGGCTTTACAGAACCCGGTTATCATGAAGTTCCTCGAAGACGACCCGCGCATGGCGCAACGCATGATCGAGAGCAACCGTCTAAAACATTTCGGAATGCCACGCACCGACAGTGTAGCGGTATCGAGGAGAAGTTCACGCCCAGGGAATCCACTCGCAGATACGCTGTTCAATCTCACATGTACTACAAGGCCACTGGACTTGGCACAAGAGACATTGATAAAAGCAGAATTGTGTTACAAGATACCACCAGCCAGGACTGACAGACCACGACTAACGAAAAAAAATAACACCGCAAAGGTACCTCTCAGATGTGTCTTTTGTGGATGATGCGCCATTTACAGTGCGCGCGCGGGCCGACCAGATAAAACCAGCAACGAGCAGAACGGTAGACATAGTGCACGAAGCCTTGCTAGCATTTGGATTTGATGTAAATTACAAAGGGAACAAGGCAGCATTGCTGCCGACATTGCATGGGCCAGGAAATGGATTGGCCAAGCAGCAGCTTTTCACCATGGACGAACCACATATCAAGACGAAGAAATATGGCATCAAGGTTTTCGTGGAGACGCAGTATAAACATCTTGGGGCGATCCTCGAAAAAGACGGACTGGTCCATGCCCAGTTTGGGCGCAACATTGCAAAGCAAAAACAAGCTCTAGGACCGTTGCGCAAGAGTGTGAACAAGCTGAATACAATGAAGAGCTTGCCGAAGCATATGCTAATCTACACCTTGCGTACCATTCGGAGACATGGCCAACACCGGGCGGAAAGCAGGTTAACTCACTTGAAGCGGCACAGATCTACGCATATCGATCTGCATTACGATTACATGTGCCACAAGAGGATGGACATCGATGTACGAACGACACCGTGTTGTACCAATCAAAGAGGCCACCAATCATGGCCTGTATTCGACTACGACGATTGAGGGAGGTATCTAGTGACGGCACTTGAGCATGGACCCACAACGTTGCTCGCACTCCTGGAGCACACGTGGGAGCATGACAAGCAGAGAAACGGATGGGCTTCCCAGCTACGTGCGGACTTTCGCTGGATAGGACATCACGTCGCCAGAGACAGGGATGACCCAGGAGCACATCGCACTCTGCAAGATTGGATTGACGAGGCGCAGAACGAGCCCAAGAAGCTCCGCCAGACATTACGAAATGCATGGGGCAAATATCGGTTAAACCAACGTGACGGTCAACATCATGAAGATTGGGTTCGCCGAATGGATATATTGATGAAACCTTATGTTGACGAAGATACGACACCGCAACCTCCAGCAACGCTGGTGGCAGGCTATCACTGTGGACGTACGTATGAGAATACATCAGTACCCATGGCGCATATTAAGCGAGATTACGATGGAATTGATGATGCGTAAAGGTATGCAGCAGATACAGATTGTCATGCATGTACATCAGAGCACCATACCAGGCCTCGGTTCATAAATAACTCACCTCAGGTATCGCTCAGAGGCATGTTTAGAGGCTTTACGTCAATCAATGGAACCGATGCCCGACGACGAGGTAAATAGACTAATGGATCTGGATAGATCACACATTGCCGAGTTGAAACGAAAAGGGGTATCACACCACCAAAGCACTGATTCCAATGCGACGGGATGGGCCGCGCAACAAGAGGCGAATCAACAAACCACAGCACCAACCACCCAAAGTACCACCAGGATTAAGCATAACAGACACATTGCGTATAGACGGAGAAGACGAAAAGGACATTGAGTCAATACAACGTGACACACCGAAGCCGGCGCCCACGCACACGCCGACGGCGAAGCACATCCTGAATTCATTTTCGGGACCACGACGAAGGGGTGACGTGCAATTTTGGGTTAAAGAAGTGGATGATTTTCCCTGTGTTGTTTTATCCGTGGATATGGCTTACTTGAATATGGCCGACCTCACGCAGTACAAGCATGTCAAGGTGTTCGCGGACATGATAATGGAAGGATGCATTTTGGCGGTGGTAGCTACACCACCGCATCAGACATGGACAGGCGCACGTGTAGGAAGCACAGATGGCGCACACAAAGGAGTGATAATACTTAGATCATCAGAACATCCATGGGGAATGCCTAGTGTTGAGATCAAGCACAGGCACCAGCTCGAGGATGAAAATATGGCAATGAGAGTGACACTATACCTGGCAACAGTGTGCGCCGCCATTTGCACGCCGATGACGACGGTGCACCCCCTGCGCAATTGGCGACCAGGAACGACATCACGTTGGGCCTTGGCACAAACAAGGAGAATATTGAAGTCCCCCACATGCTGAATTAATCACGTTTGACCAATGCTGTTTTGGAGGTATCACAAAAAAACCAACGGCAGTGCTCAGCATTAGCAACCACCGTTTTGGAGAAGCAATGCGGGCACGACCAGATCGAGGAAGATGTCAACACGATGAAGGGCACCAGGCAGCCTTAGGGCGAGGATTGGAAGGTAGACATCGTGCAGAAAAAAAAAGTAAGGAGTACCCAATGGACTTGTCAAAGCATATAGCGTTCAATATCAGAGAAGAACGGCGTACAAGGAATGGGTACAACCACACAGATTGGCATGAGATGGATGATGGGAAACATGCATGTTCCTTTGGACTATTATATCACCGATGGGGTAGACCCGTAGAGCCATTATTCTTGGCCACGAAGCCTTAATTGCGACGGAGCGTGTACCCCCTCGGTTACTATTCAGTTAAATGCAGCAGATAATGGTTCGTTACGAGTGTATGACACGAGGCGGCAGACGTACGGAATCTGTGATATGTGATGATATTCGAATGGAGTTTTGGAGCTGAGCTATTTACGGAGTATGGTACGAGGCGGCAGTGACATACAAATGGTAAAACATGAGTACATACCGAATGGAGTCTTGAATTGAGATATTGTCTCAAGCTGCTCGCTGATAACATCTCCGTTGAGCTGCCCCCACAACGGATCGCGGGTGAGTGTTTCTTTTCGCGAGGTTGGTTCGTACTTTGTGCGTTGAGCGATGTTCCTGTCTCGCCTGGCCTGGTCGTTCCTGGAGGTTAGGAGTGGAGACGGAGCCGCTCGCCAGACGCCTGCCTGTGATGTTGGCGTGGGAAGACCCGCGCCCTTGGTGCATAGCGCTCGGGGAACTCGTCACGGGCGGGTGGCTGTTTTATTTCGTGAGGTTGGTTCGTTTTTTTGTGTATTGAGCGATGTTCTGTCTCGCCTGGCCTGGTCGCCCCTGGAGTCCAGACTGGGAGCAGGCACCGCTCGCCCGACGCCTGGCATGATGTTTGTGCGTGGGAACACCCACGCCTACTCCCTTGGCGCATAGCGCTCGGGGAGTTGCTCGTGCGGGCGCTGGTGCACTGCAGCTGCCTGCAACTTCGAGAAGCAGGTGAGTGCACCAGCCCGCGGGGCCGCGCCACCTTCCCCTCCTCTCCTCCAGGATTGATGTGATGATCATGTGGTGGGTGGTGGTTGGATGGCCCCCCTCGGGCGCGCGTGTGGCGCTCGCACACTCGGGCGCGCCGCGCGGTGCCCGCGTCGAGACGCGACCCGCGTTGCGGAGCGCTTGCGGCAGACAGGAGGAGGAGGGAGGAGGAGGAGAAGGAGGAGGAGGAGGAGGTGGGAGGAGGAGGAGGGAGGAGGAGGAGGAGGAGGAGGAGGAGGAGGAGGAGGAGGAAAGAGGAGGAGGAGGAGGAGGAGGAGGAAGAGGAGGAGGCAGCAGGAGGAGGAGCGCAGAGGAGGCAGGAGGAGGAGGAGGAGGAGGAGGAGGAGGAGGAGGAGGAGGAGGAGGAGGAGGAGGAGGAGGGAGGAGGAGGGAAGAGGAGGAAGGAGGAGGTTGAGGAGGAAGAGCATGGAGGGAGGGAGGGAGGGAGGGAGGGAGGGAGGAGGAAGAGGAGGAGGAAGAGGAGGAGTAGGAGGAGGGATGGGGATGGGGTCGGGAGCTTTTGCTCGCAGCGTGTCGTGCCGCCGGCTCGGGCCCGCCGCGCCTTTGCGCGACACGCCAGCCACGTCCCCGGGCGTCCGCGTCCCGAGCCTTCTGTGGGCCTCCCGCCCCGCGGAGCGAGGCGGCACGCGACCCGCTTGCATGTTGTAGCGTGTCGCCGAGGCCGCCGCCGCTACACGATGTGGAAGATACGTGATGACTGGTGTGTGGTGGAAGCTACGTGAGAACTGCTGTGTGGTGGAAGCCCTGCCGCGTAAGCTACGAGGTTTATGCACACCGGTGCAAGCTATGTCATGCAACCAGAGTGCAGTGCGGGCGCGGCCGCAAGATACCCTCGTAAGAAATCCAGCCCTGAAGACCCGCACGAGAGGTGCGACTGGGGGAAAGGCCAGGGATTATCCCGAAGGCAGCAGCCCATCCAACGGCCGCGGGCACTCGCCGCGCATCGTGCGGAGCGAAGAAACCAAGGGCACCCTGACGAAAAGCACATGGTTTCTTGAGGCGCGCCCCCACTTTAGCCTGTCGCCGAGGCCGCCGCCGCTGCACGCTAAGCAGAAGTTTCCGACTTTGGGGTCTGATGATGCTGACGCGCCTCTGCCGCCCCAGCCGCAGCCAGGCGCTGTCCATCCTCGGCGGCGAGGCCGCGCTGATCCAGAGCAGGCCGCCGTCGTCCTCGGGGGGGGGGACCGGGCCCAACGGGTTCAAGTGCGGAGAATGACCCCGACACCCTTGACTCTCCTCCGCCCCCCCCCCCTCCTCCTCCTTCTCCTCCTCCCTCACCTTCCTCCTCCTTCCCTCCTCCTCCTCCTCCTTTTCCTCCTCCTTCTCCTCCTCCCTCCTCCTCCTCCCTCCTCCTCCTCCTCTTTCCTCGTCCTCCTCCCTCCTCCTCCTCCTACTCCTCCTCCGCCTCCTCCTCCTCTTCTTCCTCCTCCTCCTCCTCGTCTTTCTCTTCCTCTTTCTGTTCCTCCTCCTCCTCCTTTTCCTCCTCCTCCTGCTCCTCCTCCTCCTCCTTTTCCTCCTCCTCCTCCTTCTCCCCCATCCCCTTCCTCCTCCCTCCCCCTCCCCCTCCTCCTCCTCCCCCTCCTCCTCCTCCTCCTCCTCCTCCTCCTCCTCCTCCTCCTCCCCCTCCTACTACTACTACTACTACTACTACTACTACTACTACTACTACTACTACTACTACTACTACTACTACTACTACTACTACTACTACTACTACTACTATACTATACTACTACTACTACTACTACTACTACTACTACTACTACTACTACTACTACTACTACTACTACTACTACTACTACTACTACGACTAACGACGACTACTACGACTACTACGACTAACTACGACTACTACGACTACTACGACTACTACTACTATACTACTACGACTACTACTACTACTACTACTACTACTACTACTACTCCTTCTACTACTACTACTACTACTACTACTACTACTACTACTACTACTACTACTACTACTACTACTACTACTACTACTACTACTACTACGGCTACTACTACTACTACTACTACTACTACTACTACTACTACTACGACGACGCTACTCTACTACTACTACTACTACTACTACTACTACTACTACTACTGCTGCTGCTGCTGCTACTACTACTACGTTTTATTATTACTTTACTTTTACTACTACTACTACTACTACTACTACTACTACTACTACGAGTACTACGACTAGTACTGCGACGACGATTTACTACTACTACTACTACTACAACTACTACTACTACTACTACTAATACTACTACTACTACTACTACTGCTGCTACTTCTACTCCTACTACTACTACTACTACGACTACTGCTAGTACTACCACTACTACTACCACTTCTACTACTACTACCACTTCTACTACTACTCCGACTACAACGATGACTACTACTACTACTTCTACTACTGCTACTACTACTATTTATACTACTACTACTACTACTACTACTACTACTACTACTACTACTACTGGTACTGTTACTACTACTACTACGACTACTACTACTACTACTACGACTACGACTACGACTACTACTACTACTACTACTATTACTACTACTACTACTACTACCACTACTACTACTACTACTACTACTACTACTACTACTACTACTAGTACGACTACGACGACGACGACGACGACGACGACTACTACTACTACTACTACTACAATTACTGCTGCTACTACTACTACTACGACGACGGCTACTACTACTACTACTACTACTACTACTACTACTGTTTCTACTGCTACTACTGCTACTAATGCTACTACTGTTGCTACTGCTACTACTACTACTACTGCTGCTGCTACTACCACTTTTACTTCTACTTTTGCTTTAACTTTTACTACTACTTCTACTGCTACTACTACTACTACCGCTACTACTACGGGTACTACTATTACTACTACCTGCCTACCTACTTACCGGCCGACTACCTACCGACCTACCTACCTAGTACTACAACAACTACTACTTCTACTACCGACCTACCTACCTACTTACCTACCGACCTACCTACCGATCTACCTACCTACCTACCTACCGACCTACGGACCTACCGACCTACCGACCTACCTACCTACCGACCTACCTACCTACTACTACCTACTACTACTACTACTACCACTACTACTACTACTACTACTACTACTACTACTACTACTACTACTACTACTACTACTACTGCTA